TTAAATTGAGTTCGAATAAATGTCTTGAAACTCAAAAATATGGAAAATGTTTGTGATTTGTGTGATAAAGGAAATGTCCACAAAAATTTAGAATAATCATCCAAAAGCAAGGCATAATATCGATGAGCTCAAAACAGGCGATGTCCAAAGATCACCATGGATAATATCAAATGGCATATAAGTGTGAGAACTGGATTGATAAAAACCCAACTTAACATGTTTTCCTAGACGACAAGAATGACAAATACGAGAGTTTTTAACTTGATAACATTTAATCAATTTATTTTTCCTAAGAGAGTTCAAAACAAATGTTTAACATTTCAGAAAATTACATGCCTAGTGAAAAGTCCAATAGGTATTTTAAAATGCGTATTGGAGGTACATAGGCATCCCAATGCCCAATATTGAGAAATATTGGGCATAGTATATAAAATTGGCTAAGGGGTATTAGCAAATTTCTATATAATATCCAAATAAGCAAATTATTGAGCATATTAGAAAATATTGGCTTAAAAGGTGTTAAATAATTTTCTAACATTAATGAACTTGTTTAAGAAATGTACCTGCAATGAAGATCCTAAGCTAAAAACATATATTTTCTAGTATTTTCACACAAAGTACTAGGCATCCAAGTGTCAAGTCTAGTACCATAGCACATGATCATTTAAAACGATTATGTAGATTAAACAGTGCCCAAGGACATAATGAGGATCCTTGGGACAATAAGTAAACATTCCCAAATGAACCATAAACAATAGTTAGTTAGGAAAGTTCAACCAGCCCATGTGCAAGAATGTGAAAAAGCTGCCAAAGGAGGGGACCACCCTAACTGAATTCGGTTAGGATAGTTAGGGGGAAAACGTGCACAACGAACCACTCCATGTGGCTCCTAACCTCCCTACCAATTCTAGACTCTAACCTAATACCCTAAATAACTAAATAAACTAGGACTAACCAAATTGGACCCATTAGTGTACCCGAAAACCTAGGATCAAAATTGGGTTGACACTAATCTAGTACTAGTTAAAGAGACAACCCATTATCTAACCTAGGATGGTTCAAAAGATTAGTTATGGTTATAACGACTTAAGGGTAATTTGTTAATTACCGTAGGTCACTTAATTAATTAAATTAGCCATTCAATTAATTAAATTAAAGGGGTCAAACCGATATTCTTACACTAACCTAGTACAACTTAAGAAACATCCTAGTACTTAACCTAGGATGATCCAAAAGGGTTAATTTTTGTTCCAATGATTTAGGGTAACTTTAATAGTTACCCTAGGTACCTTAATTAGTTAAATTATTCATTTAATTAATTAATTTAAATGCACAAAACAAAATTCTTAGGAAAAATTTCAGATTTGACCAAGTATTGTGTTTTTTTCTAGTTCTAGTCAATATAGGAGGGGCTTTTTAGTAATTAGGTAATTAATTTATTTAATTAACTTATTAAACCCTAAGTTGAATGATTCAATATCAGTTCTTAAACCTAAAAATCACGTTCAAACTCATAGACAAAAAGGACGCAAAAATAGTAAGCAACGAACGCAAGAAAAAGGCAAAAAAATTATCGATTTCTCTAGGGCGATTTCATGGTTTCTTCAAGGTTTTGTTCAAGGTGGTCTTCATAAATTAAGTTCTACATAAGGTATGGGTTTCTCTCCTATACTTATTTCTCCAAGAGAACTTTCTTTCCAATGATTCAAAGATCTTGAAAACTAGGGTTGTTCCCGTGTTCTCGTCGAACTCCTTTGTCCCTAGTATCCTTTTCGATTCCATGTTTAATACGTTAGAGATCATGTTGTGGGTATGTGGTGCTGGCTGACCTTATGTGTAATGTTCTTGAATTATTAATGTCGATTAAACTATGAGGTTATGATCATATAAAGTTAAGTGCTTAAAACGTGAATCATGAATCGACGATGTGTTAGTTACACCCGTAACTGTTTTAAGTGTTGATGTGTTTGTACGAATTTTGCATTGCTTTTATTGTGACGTTATGAAGGTCTTAAATTCATCAAATATTAATATTATGCTGTCCAATATGTCTTAAAAACGTTACACTAAATTCATGAACCAAGATTGATTAAGAGAATGATTCTATGTTAAGATGTGTCCGAAACTGTTATGTATGAAGACGATACAATTTGTTGTGCATACTGTAAATGTGACTTGTTGATGATGTTGTGTTCATTAAATGATCATATTATGCTGTTCAAGATGTTTAAAAATGTTTTGCCTAAAGTTATGTTATAAGGTTGGCTAAAAAGATCTCCAATGAAATCATAATTTGAGTGATTGTATGGCTTATGCCAATAAAATGGCTAACAATACATTGTTCAAAAGGGATGCATGCAAATGGCTATAATATTATGTTAAATAATTAAAAGATTGGTCAATGAACAATATACATATCCAACCAAGCATGAAAAAATGTAAAATTGGCCTATGCCAGCAAAGTTGGTTATGTAATCTATACCCAAATGTCTATGCCAATATAATCATATGCCCATCTTGTATAGTAAGAGTATCAAATATATTATAAGCACTTCTAAAGTAATTTAATGAATCCATAACCAAGGGCATGCCATCCATTGAGACAACTCCCAACATGCTCTAAAAGAATGAACTATGAACATATGTAACTCATTGAAAAAAGTGCTCATCGTCCATAAACGATGAAATAAAGCTACTACACTAAAGTAAAGAAGTAACGTGAGTTATAACATAATTAAAGGGGTCTAAATTAAGTAAGTGACCATAATAGGGTGTTAAAGGAAGTGAAACAAGTCTTACTTACACCTAAGCTATTATGTAAAAAGAATACTCATGAATGAAGGTGTTAGAATGTGTGAGACTAGTCACATTAACACATAAGGATGATATGTAAGGACAATTCACATTTAATCAATGTAAAGTAAGGATGTTATGTAAGGACAATTCACATTTCATCAATGTAGAGTAAGGATGACAAGTCATCAAAAGAGTAAGTAAACCTCAATCTAGAAGCAAGCCTCCATAATGCTTGAGTCAACACTAGAAGATAAAGAAGAAATGAACATTCACGAAATGAGGTGAGTAATTATGTTAATCCATTATTCTAATGAAAATGGTGACAACATGATAAGAGGCTAATGTGAAAGATGAGAGCAATCTCAAATGAGCCTAAGTAAATGTTATCAAAACGTACTCACCTATAATAGTGTAAAGTTAATGAAGAGACCAGTATCTATGAACACTCTAATGAAAGTATTGAAGTTAATGCACACTAAATACAAATGATGAGATGATAAATCATCTAATAAGCTATGATGTCCTTATACTATAAGCTAGCTTTCATGATGTATGAGTTGAATGTAATGGAACTTTATATTGAGCACCGATAGGCTAGCTACGAGCAGTGATGCCTTCTTTCGGGAAGGGCCGAGGTTCACGTAACTCTCATGAGATGGGAATTTCTGGCAAGTCGGGTATGGGTCTCCTTATTTCTCCTAGTCTTCGAACCTATACTGCTAATATAGGGATCTAGCAGGGTTCGACTCCCTATATACGCTAGCAGGTTCGGGTCACTTAGGCCTGTGATTCCACCTCTTTTCGGTGTGGGGAAGACACCGGATATGATGCTCACATGATCTATGTCAGTTAAGGTTAAAGTTACCAAATAAAGCAAAGTTACAAAATAAAGAATGAATCCAGCCTCAAAGTATGAAAGATAAAGAAATGAACGATACGGAAGGTGTTTGTGCAAGACAATCAGGAGGTGAAATGGAATTCAAGTAATGACATTAGGTCATTCTTGGTCATTGCACTTCATGATCCCGATGAGAGTCTTAAACTTCATACTAGGTATAGTTGTTGTTTACATCAACCTACGAATGAATGAAATGAATAATGTGAAGTACGATTGAACGAATGAAGCAGACTCTGTGTTTGCTAAAGAAGGCCCTCGAGTTGAGGTCCCATATGTTGGGCCCTTACTTGAGATGTATTATGCTACATCAACGATTCCAAAAGTCTCGTGTATATGAAATGTATAATATATAAAACATGAAAGTAATGAAATCAATGGCATGATCAATAGATAATTGCTTATGAAAGGTAATGAATATATAGTGTAAAGAATGACTTACTATAAGGTAGGGAAATCATTCCATAGTCCTTGTATTACTTATATCGATTCATTGTGGGTATTGGACTACAATGAATCATTGCACTTGTAAATAAAACATAGGACCAAAAGAATTATTTAACTACACAATAAGAAGAAGAAAAAGACTGAAAAATAATCTAAGTGTACAAAGAGGAACTCTCGGCCTAAGAGAATCAAAAATGTCAAATCTTCACCCGAGTTGTTTTAAAATTATGTTGATGATACTAATGTCTTGTAATCATATATAAAATGAGTTGTGGGCTTTGGATTAATTAAAATACATCATATTCATACCACAATTCACAACTAACGATTTTGGGAAGTATGGTGACTAGGCTTTCCAGAAATAGCATGTTGTTTAGGAAGAGCTTTCTTTGATCATGCATAGCATTATGTGTATGTGTGCATACACCCATACTTAGTACAAGTGGTGTACTAACCCCTACTATTTACTATTTTTATAAGTGCAGGGCAGAGGATGGGTTGACGAAACTTGCAGCGGTTTGGACTTCAGCGTTTCTCTAAACCATTTGGTAGGTCCTCATGATTTCGAGGATGCTACAGATTTAGTCTAGCCTTAGTTTTATAAAAAGCTAGTGGATGTTGTCCCTAGCGTTTCTTTCGTACTTTCGTTTCCGAAGCTTTTATAATAAGGTCGTGTTTTGCAAACGTATTTATGATATATTCTTATTCTATTTCAAATTGAATCTTATGATAGATGGTTGTTATATTTATGTTGATCTTAGTATATGATGAATTCATGAAATAACTATATTAAGTCTATGTATACTTCAAACGTTTAAAAGTTTTAAATTTTCTGCTAAAAATAACTATATGAATGTGATAAATGCAAGAGGAGGCTTGTTTGCGACCTCTGAGAGGTCAACGACGGTTGCGATTTGGATTCCAGAATCTAGGTCGTGACAAGATGCTCCTGGGTGACCCAAATGATCATGCCCGAGGGATGGTGCCAAAGCGGCAAAAGCAGATGAAGAAGTGACTGAAGAAGTGATGGGATAAAGCTCTCCCCGACTTTCACACCTCATTACCGGTCTCCCCGTCTGAAAATCCTTTACAGTAAATCAACACGGATCAAATTTAACAGACAGAGTTATCGATTGTAAATTTTCTAACTGACACCAAATTTTGAACAAGGTGGCTATAAGAAGGAAATAAATATACACTTAATAAAGGTAATAAATCAGAATATATTCGTCATATATTCTAATAGAAATGGAGATGGGGAAGACTATTCAAGGCATTGCTCTTGTGCTTGTTCAACGCGAATTACAAAAAATTTCTTGTCATCTTCACCTGAGAAACTACTCCCAACAGTAAAAGAAACTCTTGTTGTATGTCCTGTAATTGCAGCAATGCAATGGTTTCGTGAGATTGAACGCTGCACCACTAGAGGAAGCAATAATATTTTGTTTATCATGGTGCCGGAATGGAGAAATGTATGTAGAAACTGGAGGAATATGATTTTGTCATTACTACGTACCCCACTATCGAGGAAGACTATATGCCCAAATAGTCAAAAAAGGGAGGCAAGAACTCAAAAAACGCAGTAGGAACTCAAAACCTGCTGCTCATAATGTGTCAACGTTGAAGTCAGTTCTGCATTCGGTGAAGTGGAATCGTATAATATTGGATGAGGCAAGTCATATGTTATGTTGTTGTATTCTTCAATTGGCGTTCTCTATCTGTACTTTGTGTTCAATTTCTTGTTTATGCAATTTTTTCTTTAATTCTTCACATTGATCATGTGATTGGAGTCGTAAATATGAAGATTAGTATGGTGATTATGAAGAAACCTATACCGTTAACTGCTCAATGATATGCTATTAGTCTGTGAAGAATCTTATAAAAATGTACTGTTAAATGTTGAATAATCTTTAGTGGTAACACATGAACTCCTAAAGTTCGTATGACACCAGATATGTTATCTGTAATTTTCGTAACTGATTGAACTTCTGTGGTATAGGCACATTATATCCAATCTGTAGACAGCAACGCCACAAAAGCGGTTCTTGATTTAGAATCTACATATAATGTAAGAATTAGTGTTTCAATTAATTTTGAAACAAAATTCATCCGTTAAAAGTTTTGAAAATAACAAATTAATGAATGTGAGTTATAACATTCTTCTTTGTTTTAATTCTACGTTATAGGGTTTTGTAAGAGGCTCTACATTATGAATTTTGAAAGATAACTTTTGTTTGAATTCATGAACCTATAATAAATTCTATTAATTAAAAGTTTTTTTCTTGTAAAACCTTCCTCCTATAAATTGAGTTTCTTTTGGTTGAAAAACATAAGTCTTCAAACAAAAGTACTTTCCCCTGAAAACACTTGTGAGACATTAATCAAAAGGTGAAATCACCAATTCAAGAATAGAAGAGCAACATTATTGAATGCTACTTGTTTTGTGGCTTAGTTGAATCCCGAAGATAGAGTTGTTATTTATTCTTCCGATTGCTCTTGGGAGAGACTCCAACTATCTTCAAGAAACGTATTAACGTGCCTCCAAGCCAAGCAAGTTTTATTTTGTATTCCTTGTAATTTTTATCATTCTTGTTCATTTCTTCTAACAATTTTAAGATAGTTGTCTCTATGGCATCCACATCAATAACGAAAAGTGGTCCATCTTTGCCTAATCCTAATTTTTAAATATTTGATGGCAAAGACTTTCCTAGATGACCTGGAAAGATGAAATTATTTTTAAAACGATTAAAGTTCGCATATGTTCTTGAGAAACCTTGTCCCGAGGCTCCTAATTCTGAGGTAGTAACGGACGAGGCTACTTTAATTAAAGAACAAGTTGCCAAATGGCAAGATGATAATTACTTATGTAAGAATTACATTCTTTGAGGAATGTCCAACAAATATTATGATTGATATTATATTAAATGCAAATTTTCTAAGGAGATTTGGTATGCTCTTAAAGCTATCCATTTAGCAAAAGAGGCAAGTTCAAAGAAATTTCTTGTTTCAAATTATATGGAGTTCAAAATGGTTGATGACAAGTTAATCATTGAACATGTGCAAGAATTTCAACTTATATCTAATAAAATTGCTATATCTAGAATTTCTCAAGATGAAAACTTTCATGTTGGTGCTATTGTCTCAAAACTTCTTCCATCTTGGAAAGAGTGCAGAAGCAAACTCTTACACAAGAAGGAAGATTTGACTCTTGAACAATTATTGCAGCACTTGCAAATTGAACAAGAGACGATACTGTGACAATAACCTCTTGAAGGATCCCATCATGAAAGCTCATGTTGTTGAAGAAAAGATCAAGAAGGAACTTGCCAATAATAAATTTTTGAAGGCAAAGACGAGTAAAAATTTCAAGCGTACTAATTGTGGCAATGGTCACAAAAGCATTTGTAGCGGGAGATCAAGTAGAATGGTGGATAGACACTAATGCAACTCGTCATATATCAAGTAATCGAAATTCTTTCACGACCTATGAATTAGTGGGGGCAATAAAGTTTTGCATATGGAAAATTCATCCTCTGCTAAGGTTGTGGGAAAAGGAACTGTTGAACTAAAATTCACTGCTGGAAAGATGGTCACATTGATAGACGTATTGCATGTTCCTGATATTCGAAAGAACTTGGTATAAGGTACTCTTCTTTCAAAGCATGGCTTTAAAATAATTTTGAGGCAGATAAATTTATTTTATCTAAACAAGGCATGTTTGTTGGAAAAGATTATGCTACAAATAACATGTTCAAACTCAATATTGAAAATGAAAATAATTCTGCTTATGTTGTGGAGTCTTTAGATTGATAGCATGAACGTCTTGGTCATGTGAATTTTAGATCCATTCAACTTGTGATGAAAAGTGGATTAATTAAAGACTATGGAAAGGATCATGTTGCTAAGTGTATTACTTCTAGTAAATGTAAAATAACAAAGAAATCTTTTAAGTATGTTGAAAGGATATCCACACTTTTGGAAATAATCCACATAGATATTTGTGAGATGGATTGTTTATCACGTTATGGAAAGAGATATTTTATCACTTTCATTGACGATTATTCAAGGTGTATTTCTTTCCATTAAAAACAAAATATAAGACATTTGAGACTTTTAAAACATATAAAGCAAAAGTAAAAATAAATTGAGATTGAAGATTAAATCAATTAGATCTGATAGAGGTGGAGAATATTTAAAATCAGATTTTATTGATTTTTGTGAAAAAGAAGGCATTGAGTAACAATTGACTATGTCTTATACACCACAACAAAACGATGTAGCAGAAAGGAAAGATAGAACTGTTGTTGAAATGGTTAACTCTATGCTTTATGGATCTGGTGTCACTGGAAATTTGTGGACTGAAGCCTTATTTTCTGCATGTTATATTTTGAATTGAATTCATTCCAAGAAAAAATATTCATCTCCGTATGAAATTTGGAAGAATCGAAATCCAAATATAAATTATGTTAAAGTATGGGGTTGTTTGGCTCATATTAAATTACCAGATCAACAATTGACTGAGATTGGATATAAAGGAGTAGATTGTGTATTTATTGGTTATTCACAAACCAGTAAGGCTCATAGATTTTTGAATCTTGAGACTCCAAGCCCTCACACCATTATTGAATCGTTGCATGCTAACTTTTTTGAGCATATATTTCCTAAGATAAAAGAGTCTTTGGAACAAAATACAAGTTCTTCTATATCTACTCTTAAAAGAAAAATAGTTTAACCTTTGGAAGAAAGTCAACCAAGACGTAGTGCAAGATCAGCCAAACCAAGAGACTTTGGATCAAATTTTCAAGTCTATTTAGTTGAAAGGGATCCTTAAAATTGTGCTAATGCAATGACTTCACATGATGCTTCATTCTGGCATGAAGCTATTGATGATGAAATGCACTCTATTATGTCAAACAATACATGGATTTTATCAGACCTCCATCCTGGATGTAAGTCTATTGGTTGTAGATGATCTTTAGGAAGAAATTAAAATCTGATGAAACCTTAGATAAGTACAAAGATCGCTTGGTGGCAAAAGGTCTTACTCAATTGAAAGATATTGATTATTTTGATACCTTTGCACCTGTAGCTTGAATGACTTCTATTCGACTCTTGATTGCTTTAGCCGCAATTAATAGTCTGGTAATACATCAAATGGATGTGAAGAGTGCATATAAATGGATATCTAGATGAAGAGGTTTATATGAAACAACCAGAATGATTTGTCGTTCTGTTCAAGAACACAAAGTTTGTAAGCTTCTTAAATCTCTTTATGGATTAAAACAAGCTCCAAAACAATGGAATGAGAAATTTAGAAGAATAATGATTTCTAATTTCTACTCAATCAATGGTGGTGATATTTGTATATTTAGAAAATTTCAAAAAAATATATTGTTATAATATGTCTTTATGTAGATGATATGTTGTTCTTTTGGAACTGATATTGAAAAAGTCAAAGAAACAAAATATATTCTAGCTTCTCAATTTGAAATGAAAGATCTTGGAGAAGCTGATGTAATTTTGGGTATTATAATTGTAAGATCAGTAAATGACTTGACTCTTACTCAATCAAGTTATATTGAGAAAGTTCTAAAGAGGTTTGGTCACTTTGACGACAAACCTGCTCATACACCATTTGATCCTAGCATTAAACTATTGTGGAACTCTAGTGATGTTCTCAATCAGCTGATATATTCTCAAATTGTTGGGAGTCTTATGTATGTCATGCATTGTACCAGGCCGGATATTGGTTAAGCAGTAGGAACTTTGAGCAAGTTTACTCGTAATCCCAGAGTTGAACATTGGAATGCCTTAAATCGTGTTTTAAGATAGCTCAAGGGTACGATAAATGTTGGCCTGCATTATTCTACATTTCCAACTATTCTTGAAGGCTATGATGATGCTACTTGGAATTTCGATCTGCATGAATCTAAATCTATTACTGCTTGGATTTTCATTTTGGTTAGAGGAGTGATCTCTTGGAAATCAAAAAAGCAGACACGTATTACTCATTCAACCAGGGATTCAGAATTTATAGCTATGTCTTTTGCCTGAGAGGAAATTGATCGGTTGCGATCTATGTTGATAGATATTCCTTTAACTATCTATTATGATAATCAAGCTGCTATATTCCAGGCTTCAAGTGATTGCTACAATGGCAAGTCAAGACAAGTTCGTCTCAAACATAATCATGTGAGGAGATTATTGGAGGAAGGCGTGATATCCCTTCAACATGTGAAGTCTAGATTTAATTTAGCGAATCCTTTGTCTAAAGGGTTAGGCAAAGAGTTAGTGGTGGAAACCTGTAATGGTATGGGAATAAAGCCTGTTGTAAATTAATTGTACTTTATGGTAACCCTACCTAATGATGTAATCTTGAGTTCAAAGGGAAAAACAAATAAAGTTACAATTGTGAAGCACATCAATAAAATTCCCATTTTCAAAATAAAATAAAATAAGTAGATGTGCATGATTGAGATTCTTTTTTCTAACTTCATTAAATGAACCACTTAGTTCAAGATTTGTTCACTAAGTAGTCAATGGTTTAGAAAACCTTCACTAGCTTATGGTTCAATTCCAAAAGACACCATTATTGATGCATGTCACTAGATTAATGTCTCAAAATATTTTTTAGATTTTTCAAAGATAAAATTTCTTGAAACCAGTCGGGATTGTAAGAATTAGTATTTCAATTAATTTTGAAACAAAATTCATCCATTAAAAGTTTCACAAATAACAAAATAATGAATGTGGGTTATGACATTCTTCTTTGTTTTAATTCTACGTTATAGGATTTTGTAAGACGCTCTACGTTATGAATTTTGAAAAATAAATTTTATTTTAAATTCATGAACCTATAATAAATTCTATTAATTAAAAATCTTTTTCTTGCAAAACTTTTATCCTATAAATTGAGTTTCTTTTGGTTGAAAAAGATAAGCATTCAAACAAAATCACTTTCCCTTAAAAACACTTGTGAGACATTAATCAAAAGGTGAAATCACCAATTCAAGAATAGAAGAGCAACATTCTTGAATGCTACTTGTTTTGTGTCTTAGTTTAATCTCGAAGATAGACTTGTTATTTATTCTTCCGATTGCTCGTGGGAGAGACTCCAACTATCTTCAAGAAACGTATTAACGTGCCTCTAAGCCAAGCAAGTTTTATTTTTTATTCCTTGTAATGTTATCATTCTTGTTCATTTGTTCTAACATATTCGTGGGCCTTAACTGGTGCACACCTTCAAATCGAAGTATAGTACTCATTAGTAAGTTAACTTCAGCAAGTTTAATTACATTTTCTTTACTTCCTATATTTGTGAGGTTAATCAAATTTTTTACTTCTATACAGGTCCGTTTCTTAAGAGTTGATGCTTATGCTTATTAATTTTGCGAAGATTGTGATGGAAAATTAAAGGACTTGATTTTAGGTAGACATAAAGTTTATATTGTTATCCTTTTGCTTCTCAAACAATGTTACATCTGAAACATCTTGTGTTGTCTGTTCTTTTATAAATTTGACAGTTTCTCCATTGAACACTTCCCTTACGGATGTGCTAAATACTTTCACTAGTAGAAACACGTAAGTTAACATACATGAGCTTCATCATCATATTGCTGATATAGTAAAACTGAAGCATCTTGTTCTTTTTCTAGTATATTGAAATAGTTGTAAAGCCAATATATGATGAGAAGCGTAGAGATGCAATGGTGTTGTTGAATCACAAAATTCTGAAAAATATAATGCTAGAACGTACCAAAGAAGAAGAAGTTGCTGATCTTGCACTTCCAACAAAGACTGTAAGTTCTGTATTGCAGTAATGTTGTGTGCTTAAATTTGAAAAGAATCTTCTTATTGGTTACCTTTTTGGGGTTTAGGTTAAGACAATGAAAGTTTCTTTGGATACTGATGAATACAAAACCTACAAGTCATTGCTCCGTAGAAATCGACAACAATTCTATAAGTATACATTTCATTTTCAAATTCAGCCGCTTCATCCTTCAAGTTAAATTTACTTGTCTCTGATAAAAATCTATTTTCATATTTGGTGCAGTGTCCATACTAGAACTCTGATGAAAAACTATTTTCTCATGTTTGCTACATTCGTACGCCTGCGGCAAGTACCAATCCAATGCTTCATAAATGCTTGTAAAATTATTTTTTCATGTCAAAGCTACTATTTTGTGCTAGTCTTTTTTTCATGAACTTAATTTTTAAGTGACTGCTTTTAGTTAATATGAACTCAAATACAGAACACC